TCTCTCTTTCTTTCTTTTATTTTTTGTTTTTTTTCTTGCTTACACACTTCCCTTGTTTTTCATTTATCTCAAACGGTTGGATCAATGAGATGCAGAGTATCCAGAATTTTTTGCAGGTGCGGGAGATGCAGCTCCCATTCACTGCTTTTAGTTTCCCATCGAATGACCAAAATTCCATGTGCAAATGGGATAATATACGAACGGCAACTGTGACCTTCTTTCTCTTCATTCATTTGCACACATCGGATACCATTAAGTTCACAAATTGAAGATGAAACCCGTTCATTAACCCAATCGGTAAAATGAAAAAGAACATTATGTTTTAGTTCATCATCAGTGGAAAGATATTTTTCCCATGTTGGTGGAATTTGTGTCAAACGTCTAATGACAGCGCAGGGTGGCACATCAACAACAACATTCTCGGTTGTTGTTTTTTTCTCTGAAGAAAAAGAAGAAGTTTCTCCATCACCCAAGGGATAGTAAAGCGCAAGAAGATCATCTGTGAGGACCGGTTCGTGAACGATACCGCTATGTGGATTTACAGAGAAACTAACTCCAAGTTGTAAGTGAGAAAATGCGACATTCACACGATCTTCTTCCTCTTCTTCCTTCTTTGTAGAAAGTTGGACTTGAGAAGTAGAGGAATTTGTAGTATTAATAGTATTCATAATATTGGTATCATCTTTAGGGGATCGACGTACCAGCTCTTGTACGGAAACAAGTGTCAAAAATGATGAAACAGGGGAATATCCAGAATCTTTATTTGGGAATAATGTATCTATTGTATCACCCTTTACAAGAGAATCTATTATAGTAGCATCAATAGTAATTTTTCCTCCTGGTAATACGTCTCCCTCAAGTACAAAAAGAGATTCATCATTTTTATTATTTTTGCTGCTCTCACTCACAACACTCTTTACAGAAATGGTGGTTGGTACGGCGAACACAGCAATATAATTACTATTACTGCAAGTCACACGCAAACGTCCTTCTCGTACACCCACAGGAGTATCAGGGAAACGGAATTCATCCACAAGAGGAACAAGACGACATGCGTTAAGTAGTATTTGAAGATCCGATAGTTTTAAGATATTTTCGGATGTATTTTTTTTCTTCTCTTTATCCTCAGAAATAAGTTTTAATCCTGTTATAACTAGTGAGTGAACATAAGGACCATTACATCCAAGTACGATACTCATCTCCTCATCTGGATTCACGATAATATGCGTAAAGCACCCGGATGTATGTGAGAGTCCCATCTTTTCCAGTGGAACCACCGACTCGCCCTTCGCGGCTACAATATTAAAAAGTCTCTGACTCTGCAGATATCGCAAAAAGAAGGAATCACTATTCTCCACCCGCGGGAGTGGACCTTCGCAGATAATAAAACAATCCCCAGCGGCGGGGGGAGTGAGAGGCAACACAGCCAGCATGGGTGGCTGAAATACCACCGGTGGAGCCCGCCAACCCACAGGGAGTTCACTGGCAATCACCTCAACGGGAACAGCACGTGTGGTCTTTTCATTTATTTTCACATCTTGAGATTCATTCGTTTCGTCCTCTTGCGGATTATGATGTTTATGATTAGAATGTTGCTCTAGAGAGGCTTCTCCTTTCTTGGATGAAAGAGAACTTCTCCAACGCCGATAGACAAGGGAAGAAAAAAGAACTCCAACTCCTCCAGCAACTATACACATAGTAGTCTTCATCATATCAGAAGAACTACGCTGCATTTGCCTTGGTCTGCGTTTATTTTCGTTTTTTTTTTTTCTTTTTATATATATATATATTCTATTTTCTTTTTTTCTTCACAGTTTCTCTGTTTGTATCGTTTATGGCTTCTTTCAAAATTCAATAGAGAGTTGAAAATGAAAAATAAAAAAGAAACAATCTAGAATCAGAAAAGAAAAAAAAGAGGAAGAAGTATCAAGTTCAACAGTCAACAAGTATAACAGCAACAAGAAAGGTATTGGGGATTTTTCAAATAAAAAAAAAAAAAAACACAAGCAAAAAAGAAAAGAAAGAAAAGCAAACATTTGAAGTAGAAACACAGAGTTCTTTCTCTGTTTTTTTTTTTTGTTTTGCTACAGAATCGTACAGTAAAAGTTCTTCTTCCTGTCCAGAAAGAAAACTTATGGAATAGACGATGTGAAAAAAGGAGGATAAAAAAAAAAAAAAACACATAATGCAAGAAACTGGGGAAAAACAACAACAACAAGAAAAACAATATATATATATATATATAAACCAGTTTGTTCCAATAATGTATACATCATATAAAACAGATACACATTCAAATTATATAAACAAAAGACATATATACAGTAAGGTACTCTCTTCTCCAAGAAGACCTCAAAGAAAGAAGAAACAAACAAACAATCAAAAAAAAAAAACACATATACTATATATAGATATATACAAAAACATCATCCATAATGAAGCAAAACTCAGAAAAGAATGTTTTCTCTTTTCTTTTTCTTTTTTTTCTTTTAGTTCCACACAGACGTTAAACATTTTCAACAGCAGAAATATTCTTCAGAGAACGCTTCGTTTTCTTTTTTCCACGTATACAACGATGCAGTTCCTTTCCATATGATTGTATCATATCATTAAGAAATGAGTCTGTGTCACTCTTTGTAGCCTCATCAGCTTTTTCAGAGGATTTCACTGCGCAGAATGCTCGCTTCTCTTTTCCAACCTTTTTTTGAATAACTCTTCCAATGTGTAATGATGTATTTCGCGTTTCTAAATTTAAAACGCTTTCTGGTCTCCCTGGTGAATCTCGTGTGGATGTAGGCGACTTTCCACTTTGCCGAGTCATACCAGCACCAAAGAGAGAGAGTCCATCGGTTGCGGTGGTTTGCACGGTTTCACTGTCTTTTCCAAACTGTACGGGTGTTGTGAGAATATCTGTTCTTCTCTTCCACGTGGGTGGTGGACTGCGAACCCGCGCGGTCTCCCACCATTTGATTGTATGAATGACTTCTTCCACAGAAGAGAGTTTTTTCCTCACACCCGCTCCCACTCCCGCATCCATAAAGAAATCGGCTGCCGTGCTTACAGATCGTGTAGGAGGATCGTATTCTCGTTCTCGAAATTCACGTGGTTTCTCCTTTAGTGGTCTCCACTGTTTCTTTTCCTCCAGTGCCACTAAACGAGAAGTTAATGGAAATGTAGAATCTAAAGGTGCAACTGTAGGGCTAACCAAAGTAACAGTCGCAGATGCAGTAGTAGTCGTAGTAGTCGTAGTAGTCCTAGTTGTTGTTGTTGTACTAGTAGTAGTGGTGGGAACAGGTGCCATAGTATTGGCATTAATGGCAACGGGGGAACCAATAACAGTATTACTATTATTATTATTACTATTACCATTACTACTACTACTGTTATTGTTATTATTATTATTATTATTATTAGCAGTAGTAGGAGTAGGAGTAGGGGTAAGAATAGTAGTAGTAGTAATATTGGTATTGGTATTCACATTCGTAATCGTAGTGGTGGGAAACGTAGCAGATGGACTAAGAGAAGTTGTTCCTCCTGTTGTTGTATTTTTCATAGAACTAGCCGTCGATTCTTCTTCTGATGTGGCCATAAAACTACCCAGTTGTGTTCCCATGTGTTCATTATTTCCCCAAGAGACTAAACTCACTCCACGACGTGTATTTAATGTTGGCAACACAATAGGCGATGTACATTCCGCTCCAGACATCCCATCTGCAGTGTAACGACGATTATTCATTTCTTCTTCTAACTTCACACAATTTTGACATACTGTAGAAGAAGCGATAGTAGGAGGAAGAGAATAAAGATGTTTTTGATCTTCTTCTCTTTGTTGCCAATCCCCTACATGATCCAAGTAACCTACATCATCCATAACTCGTTTGGGTGGAAGTCGATCCATGTAAAGTTGTCCAGTTTCTTTTCCATCATAGTTAAGTATTTTTACTAAACGATCACATCCACATGAAATGAGAGCACTTAAAGTAGGAATCCATGTCAAGTAGTTTATAGGTCCTTTATGTAAAGAAACTGTATTCATTAAAAGTGGTAAATAGGAAGATACTGTATAATCATTTTGAGCATCTCGAAGTCGGTATCGTACTCTCTTCTCAAAAGAACAACGTTGAAAACCAAATTCTTGTAGAAAAGGACAAAGTGAATACACATATACATTTCCTTTTTGATCACCAGCAAAAAGACGATGTGATACATCATCACAGGTTAACCATGTTAATCCATCTTTTCTATTATCATCTATAGCAATTACCTGAAGTAAATCTGTAAAAGTTCTCCTTCTATCATCCATTGCTATAGAAGCGGAAATCCTTTCATAAGGAATACTTTCTTCAGATGTCTTTGGTACTGTTATGGATGAATCCCTTGTCGTTAAAGAGAAATGTTTAGAAGAACCTCCTCTACTGCGTGTGGGTGTACATGCCGTTTTTTCCTCTTCTTCTGTTCGTTTCCCAATAAAAAAAGAAACCAATTGGACATAACTTTCTTCAGCTGGTGGTGTTGACCAGAGAGAAATTTCTCCATCATCACAGCCTACTGCCATAATAGGGTATTTTCCAAGTAAACACATTGTCCGTACAGTTTTTTTAACTGAAATAGAAACAACATACAACTTGGTTTGTTTATAATCCACGAAAAATAAATTAGAATTATCACAACAACCAATTAAGCCAACCTCATCACTTATCGTTAAGGCACGTAAGGGTTCACTGGAAAGTACAATAGTAATAGGATTAGAAGAGAAACCAGATTCTGTATCATAACGAACAGAAAGAGTTCCATTAGTTGTAATCACTACAAGCATATTATGTCTTGAACTAAAAATCATTTCTTGTGCATTCACATCATGCATTTCAATCGTTTCTAATACTTCAAATGTTTTAGAGGATCGAAGTTCTATAGTTCCATCTGCAAGAGCAAAAAAAGCACGACTACGAGAATTATCCATACACATGGTTACAACTTCTTGATGTCGATAAGAACCTCTAATAAGAGAAGCACGATCAAAAACACGTTTACGAAATCCATCTACCGCATCCCAAATAGATGTACGAGTTGGTCCTTGTAAAATAATAGTACCTTGTTGGACATCATAACAAGCGTAATTAATAGTTTCAATATCAGCCGCATTACCATCACGACGATGATTATAACGAACACAATAAATAGATTCAGATGAAGCACATACAATTTCTTGTGTAGATCCAAAGTAACCAATAGAACGAATACGTCGTAAATCATCTCTTTCTACAGCTCGAATAGCAAAAGCTTCTGAATCTTGATAATTAGCTTGATCACCATAGAAAAAATCCACATTAGTTTCATCCCCAACACTTCCATCTGCATACATAGTTTGTGTACATCGAAGCATACGTAGATCCCAAACTTTAACTAAACCTGATGAATCACCAGTAATAACTTGAGGTAAACCAGGGGCATTACAAAGTCCAATGATATCTGCAGTATGTTGTTTGACAGATTCATCTCCAAATGCAGCTCCAGGTGTTACAGCAGATGAACGAACATCCCATAAAAGAATTTGATTTGTATACGATACACTTGGTAAACAAGCATAACTTGCATTATATTCTACAAAACGTATAGTTTCACGTGGTCTTCCAATAAGAATAGATCTTCCAGTTTCTAAATTTGTAGAAAGTAATCGATGATCAAATCCAGTAGTTAAAAGCCATTCATCTGTAAGAGTAAAATCTGTAATCCCACCTGTATCTCTTGAGTGAAGTCCTTCATAACAGTTTACACTACTCATTTCTACTATAGACCGTTGTTTAGGTACTTGCCAATGCATTACACTACCATGACTACCACCTGTAAAGAAAGAATATGGAAATATTTTATGATGTGTACGCATTTGACGAACCACATCTGTTAATGCCAGTGGATTTAATGTTCCCATACGATTGTTAGATATCACATTCCACCAACCACGAATCGTTTTACTTTGTGAGGTACAAGCAAGATAAACATCTGGTAGAGGTAAATACTCTATATGCTGTGGATACGTATTATCAAAATCCTTTAAACTAAACTGTTTAACCACACTAAAGTCTTTCTTACTTAACAAAACAAGAGGATCTGTTCGGGTAACTACGGCGAATAAAGATTTATGATTTGGAAGTGTATGAATAGTTTGAATAAGTTTCATTCGTGGAGAAACACGAGAAAAAGAATAGGATCGCATCTCTTCTGTCATCACGGTAATACTCTGTGTAGCCTCTTCCACCGCTAATTGCAATACATCCTCCCACGTAATAATCCCATCACCATCCGTGTCAATTTTGCCAAATAACACTTCCACTGCACTTCCGCTCACTTGTTCCTCCAACGGGCGTCGGAATGATTTACCTCCAAAATTAAGAGATGCATTTAAACCTTCACGAAGTGTCGTAAAGGCATCTTCTAACGTTACAGCGGAAAAACCAAAATTCAAATCACTCTTTACAGAGATGGAATCTCTTCCCTCTGTTCGTCGAAGACTACCTCTAACACTACGCGGTCGACCAAACGGCGTTTCTTCTCCTATTACTCCTCCACGAACTCCCAAATTTGATCGAATGGTTTGTCCTCCCCAGGCACTATTATCACGTCTTCCTTTTCCCGTAGTGAAATATTGGGAAAAGACACCACGAAAATCGTCTAACGTCATTCCATCTGGGTATTGCTCAAAATGCCCCCTAATGAGCTCTAGTTGCTCCCTATCATTGGTAAGGAAAGAAGTTATCTTGAATGTCTCCATTTCTACTTTTTTTTTCTTTCTTTCTTTCTTTCCTTACTATTAGTTAATATCTGAAGAGGAAGATTTTAAAAGCCTTTTTTTTTTTTTTTGTTTCTTATCCCAGCATCAGCCCACCTTACTTTACAGCTCTTTTTTTTTTTTTTTAGTGCTTCCACCTGAAATCCACACTTCACGGAGGAGCCCTTTTCTCTTCTTTCTTTTTTTTAATTTGTGTTTCTTCTTCTCCTCTCTCTCTCTCTCTCTCTCTCTCTCTCCACTACGCGGTTTGTAATGGTAGAGTAGTAATATAATAAATAAAAAAAAAGAATAGAAGAAACAAAACAAAAAGTACCTTTGTCTGAGATACATTCATAGAGAAATAAAGAGTCAAAATAATTGAGAACAAGAACAACAACAACAAAAGATTTCTTTGGTTCTTTCATAAAACCATTTTTCTTTTTTTTTTTTACTCTCTTCCAACAATATCGTTCTTTTTTTTTTTCTTCTTCTATACATAGAGGAGCTGGTACCCTCATTTTCTTTTTTTCTTTTTCTTTTAATGTACGCTCTCATGCTTGGTTGGTTCCCAATCCTTCTTGTCGAGTTTTTTTATAAAAAAAAAAAAA